TCCTTACAAAGCATTGGGCTTACCAAGTTCATGCCCAAAGGTGGTATCACTGCTGGATGACTCATTCTGCTAGACCGGGATCTAGAAGGTCACTGCTAAAAATTGTTCATTGCTTTCTGAGTCATGGATGCTATACTGGCTACAAAATATGACTTGAGTTCTTATTCCTGGCTTCTCTGGCTTGCTTTCATGGTCTTTGAAATTCCTAAAATTAGGCACTTCACTCCTTGCACCTAAAATGAAAAAAATGAATGAAAAGGTATAGGAGGCTCCATTTCTCAGGGGCCATCTGGTCTCAGAGGGGGAAAATCCCAACACCCTTGACTTTCACCAGGATACTTTTCTGCCACTAGAAGACAGATGAAGACAAGGAGTTCAAGAAGAGCCAAGAGGTGATTGCAGCTGATTTGGGTCTTTCTGAAGATTCTGACAATTTTGGCTATTTGTCCAATAGAATGAGATTCCTTTCAATGACATCGTAGGCCAACTGGAATCACTTATAGAACAACCACATATGATACTGTTTCTCTAAGGAACTTCCTTTGTATGTCATCACTATCCTCTTAGAAGCAGCTCCATGTGGAGTACATGTGAGCTAGCTGACGGGGTCTGCACACATGTCAGAACCTCATTACAATAATACCACAATGTTCAGTTTAGTTTTGTTGTATTGATTCCCCCCCCCCCCCCACCCCCCCCCTTTCACTCTTTCACTTTGTTTTTTATTTTCCTGGTTCTGCTTACAAGAATCTGCTTCATTGCATATAAGTTTTCTCATGTTTCATTGAATTCCTAATATTCATTGTATCTTACAGCACAATAATATTCTCAGTTCTTTACATATAGAACATTTCTGCCTTGAACTTTGGGGAGGAGAGGGAAGCTTTCCTTACAGGCTTTCCAAGATATTGTCCTTAACCTTAATCGATGTGACTCCAGAAAGGAATAGCTATGATGAGAGTCGCTATTCCTGAACATCAAGGAGGCAAAATTTCCGCTTTAGGTTGGTGTGACCTTGGTCTAGTCTTAAACCTAGGTGCTGGTGAGATGCAGTGAATGATCTTTGCCATTAACTGTCGGAACATATAAACCAAAGATCAAAGAGTAATAATAGGTGCAAAGTTCAGATTTAGAGTATAGGAAGGGCATGCATACCCAACACAGTTGATGTAATACATAATACTACATGTTATGTACAAACTCCTTGAGGTTAGGGTCTGTCTCTTGCCTCTTTTTGTATTCCCAACACTTAGCACAGTACCTGACACAGAGTAGGTACTTAATAAATGTTTACTGATTGATAGGTTAACAAGAGAATCATAAGCCAAAGTGCTATGATGGCAAATGATGATACTTAATTATAAGCATTTCTCTTTCTTAGAGCTTTATTTTTAAATTTTTTAAATTTAAATTTTATTTTGAACTTAACAAATATTAAGTAAAATGGGCATTTCTATAAACATAGCATAACATAGCATAAAACTGTTTATCTCATGTACAGCTTGTTCTTTCAAATAAATAATAAATTCACTATGAAACTTTCGAAGCAACCCTAACTTGTCTGTGATTCTTTCTGGACTTCTTCTGTTCTCTTCTGTGAGTTTAAAAAAATGATGCTTTAATTACCTTTTCTTCTTTTTCTTTTGGCTACCCTTTCTTCTTACATGTTTCCCCCCATTGGAAGAACAGAAAAAGAAAAACAAAGCCCTTGTAACAAATATGCCTAGCCCAGCATTTAAAAAAAAATGCTGATATTACTCTGTATCTCTTCTGTACAGAAGAGAGGTAACATGTTTCACTTTCCATTGTGATTGGTTATTATACTGGTCAGAGTTCTTAAGTCTTTCAAAGTTGTTTTTCTTTGCAATGTTGTTATTGTTCTTTTGGTTTGGCATCAAATCATAAAGTCTTCCCAGGTTTCTCTGAAATTGTCATTTTCATAATTTCTTATGACATAATAATACTCTATTACATTCATATACCATAATTTGTTTAGCTCTTCCCAATGGGCATAATTTATCTTTGCCACCGCAAAAGAGTTGCTATAAATTTTATATATGTCAACATAAGTGTATCTAGATAGACAGATAGATCGTTGTTGTTGTTCAGTTGTTTCAGTCATGTCTGACTCTTTGTGACCCAATTTGGGGTTTTCTTGGTGAAGATACTGGAGTGGTTTGCCATTTCTTTCTCTAGCTCCTTTTATAGATAAGGAAACTGAGGCAATTAGGGTTAAGTCATTTGCCCAGGGTCACACAGCTAGTAAATGTCTGAATCTGAATTTGAACTCAGGTCTTTCTGACTCCAGGCCTCGTGCTGTATCCACTGGGACACCTAGTTGCTATATTAATTGCTATATACACAATATATGTGTGTGTGTATAATATATATATATATATGCATATATATAATGTGTGTGTATATTCATATACATTATATATTTGTATATATGTGTGTGTATTTATATATATGTGTGTGTATCTATCTATCTATCTATCTATATATATATAGTTATATTTACTTTTTTGGATCTCTTTAGGCCAGGTAATGGTAGAGCTTTCAATGATTTCAACCTCTTCTCTACTGCAAAAACCTATCTCTGTCTCTCTGACTCTATCTCTCTCCTTCTCTGTCTTTGTCTCTGTCTTTGTCTCTATCTCTCTTTCTCTGTCTTTCTCTAACACTAACATTTTCTAATGATGATCTGTGGCTGCAAATCACAGACCACCACAATTTCAGAGGACTCAGCATTGTAAGATAGTGAACCGAAGAGCAACAGAAAGCTGCATGGTTGGGGCTTGAATTGCATACAGGTCATGGCATAAAATAAATTGTTGCCACATGCAATGAAAGAAGGCCTAATATCAGATATGTGTTGAGAATAATGAGGTGTTGTGTGTTACACCAGTATCCATGAAATTGTAAAGAAATTAGAAGAAGGCTTTCAGCACATTGGGTAGATCTTCCATAGAGGATTCAAGAAATAACATGGACAAGGATCACAGAGGATAGGAAGACATGGAAGGGCTGCTATGTGCCTCAGTGGAGGAAGGATCCATGTTAATAAGCTCCCAGGAGATCCATGGAAATCTCATAAAACATCTCTTTACTTTCTGACACTAACAATGTTTTAAACTCTCTGGACTGTATCAGTCTAGGGCAAAGAAATGGCAGTGGAGACACATCAAGAAGGGAATTCATAGTCTTTTTTTTCCCCATAAAGTAGTAGAAATGAGCTAAAAAACTGGTTCAAAACCAGCTCTTCCTCATTTCCTTATTTATTTAAATCATGTGATTATTTTACTTGTCAGTCAGTGTCTAAACCTCTGAGATAGCTTTGATTTCATTCTTATCCCTTTCATATCTAATAAACCACTAAAAAATCTTGTAAATTTTTTCATAATATCTCTAGCTTCCAATGTTTCCTATCCATTCCTACTGTTTTTGGCATGGTTTAAGCCCTTAATTCTCTATGACTAAACGATTTGCAATAGCTTCCTAACTGCTATCATAGGATCATAGGAGGAGATTTAGAGCTGGAAGGGACTTTGGAAGTAATTTAATCCAAGGTCTTCATTTTATAGATGAAGAAACTGAGGCAACAAATGCTGGAGGGGATATGGGAAAACAGGTACACTCTTGATAGGGCTGTGAACAAGTCCAGCCATTCTGGAAAGCATTTTGGAACTATTCCCCAAAAGCTATTAAATTGTAAATACCCTTTGACCAAATAATATTGCTACTAGGTATTAAAGAGATAAAAGAAAGAAGAAAATAGATCAAAGAAAGAAGAAAAGGACCCATATGTACAAAAATATTTATAGCAGCTCTTTTTTGTGGTGGCAAAGAATTGAAAACTGAGGGGATGCCCATCAGTTGAGGAATGACTGAACAAGTTTTGGTATACAAATGCAATGGAATACTATTGTTTTGTAAGAAATGATGAACGGGATAGTTTTAGAAAAACCAGGGAAGCCTTGTATGAATTGATACAAAATGAACTGAGCAGAACCAGGACAACAATTTATAAAATAATAGTAACGTTGTAGAAAAAAATCAACTAATTCCTAAGCAATACAGTGACCAAAACAATTCCAAAGGACTCATGATAAAATGTGCTATCCTCTTCCAGATAGAAAGTTGATAGACTCAGAGTACAAATTGAAGCATATTTTCTCATTTTTTTTTCCTTTTTCTTTTTGGACATGGCTAATGTGGGAATTTGTTTTGCATGACTATATGTATTTGTGAGGGGTTTTGTTTTTCTTGCCCTCTCAGTGGATGGAGGAGTGATAGGACAGAGAGAATTTAGAAGTGAAAATAAAATAAAATTGTCATTGGGGGAAAAAAAAAAACTGAGGTGGAGAGGTTATGTAGCATGCCCAAGGTCACTCAGGTAGTAAACAGTAGAGTTGGGATTCAAACCCCATTCTCTAACTCCAAATCCAGCACTCCCTCCATCATACCAGGTGGCTTTTCTCTATCCCTAGTGGTCTCCTAATTTATCCTATGTACCACCACCCAATTAATGTTTCAAAATAAATCTTTGGTTGCACCCCTCCCTTGCTCAAAAACCTTTAATAACTCCCAGTTGTCTGCAGGACAAAGCCCAAAGTGCTTAGGGCTGTCCACAATTTGGTCTCAATCTGACTTTCCAGACTTGCCTTCTATGACTGCCCTAGATAAACTTTCCACTTGAGGCAAATTGGTTTATCCACTGAACTCCTAATGTGCACTCTCACCTTTGCCCTTTTATATGTACTGTATTCCTCCCCTCCCCTACCAGTTTAAATCCTATATGTCCTTTAAATCCTAATTGAAATTATATCTCCTCTAACCACTTTAGCAGGAAATCATATTTCTTTTCTTTTCTTTTTTTTTTTTTTTGAACCAGGGCTTAGTTTATTGGCATGACCATTTACAGTCAGGTGTTTTCCTCTCAATAGCGAAACAAGAAGTGAGACAGTTTCCAATCTGCCATAACATATAACTGAAAAACTTCATCTTGAGAATGTAGCATTAGTCAGGTTACATAACTCCTTTTTAACTTTCACTATTTTTACACTGCTGCCAGAAGCTTTTTCAGCATTTGCTTTGAATTCAGTGTTCAGTGTATCTCTTACTGCGTTTGCACAGATCTGGGAGTATTGGATATAGCTGAGTCCAGCCTGTCTCCAATAGGCCACCATGACTGGGGAAGGTGGGCGATGGATGGAGCATGAAATTATACTTCTTAATTTTGAGATCTGACAATTATTCTTGCCTGCTTGGTATTATCTTATATTTTAACTTCCCAACTAGAGTATAAACTCCTCATACTTCTTTGAACCTCTCATGTCCTTTAGGTGCTCAGATATTTGATCATCTAGAGAATGGGTGTTTTTTTCTGGTGGGGAGGTTTCTTATTTCTTCTTGCTTCCACCTACAATGAGCCTTCTGTCTCTCCATCCAAATTCTTGTGATTGCAAGGAGGGAACTTTTTTTAAAAAAAAAACCATTCTGAGGGTTCTGACCACTCTTAAAAGAGTAACAACTTCTTCAAATAGCAAGTTTTCAGATCTTGTTGTCTGGTTTGGACATAATTAGGTTGAACTGCATAGAACTGTGAAGTTTTACCTAATTTTGCTTGGTCAGTAGCATTGGAGAAATGACCTTCCATTATAAAAACATCCTGAGGATAATTTAGAAGCAATTTGTTGTGCATAATGTAAATTTTTGGTGACCCTTTCAGTGTGTAATCACCAGAAAACAACACTTTGATGTGCTAAGCTGGTTGATATTTCATTACAAAATCTCTTTTTTAAGAGATTTTTAATCTCTTTTAATCTTTTTTAAGTATGTTAATGGAAAGAAATTTACTTTTTAAATATGATTACATAACTTTTAGAGAAGATTGTTCCTGAAGAGATGATCCACAGAGAATCAGACAGATAGGAGAAAACACTTTACTTTTTTAAAGTAAATGGAAATAACATGACAAGAAATAGCCCTCTGTTCACTTTTAGCCTCTATCATCACTACCATGTTCATCAATATTTCATTTGCATTGTACTTCAAGCTCTCTTTCATTCACTTTGTGCTTTCTTCTAGGTACTTTTGCACACCCTGTCAAGGAAAGCATCCACTGTGACTGACTCCTGGTTTCTTTTTGTTGATCAGTTTGATTTGTTTGATCAGTTATTTTTCAGTCATGTCCAACTCTTCATGACTCCATTTGGGGTTTTCTTGGCAAAGGCACTAGAGTGATTTGCCATTTCCTTTTCCAGTTCATTTTACAAATGAGAAACTAGCCTACTCATAGAAAGGCCGAATGGCTTACATAGAGGGCTGGCCTTGGAGTCAGGGATAAATCAACAAACATTTATTAATCACCGAATTTGTGCCTGCTCCTATTGTTACAAAGACATACATGGGGGGCAGCTAGGTGGCACAGTGGGTAAAGCACCGGCTCTGAAGTCAGGAGGACCTGAGTTCAAATCCAGCCTCAGACCAAACACTTGGCACTTACTAGCTGTGTGACCCTGGGCAAGTCACTTAACCCCAATTGCCTAAAAAAGAAAAAAGAAAAAAGAAAAAGAAAAAGAAAAAAAGAGAAAAAAGAAAAAAAAAGATACACATGACAACCCTCAATCCCTACCTTCGAGAAGCTAGAAGAAAAATAAAATTCAAGTATTGCCTCTGTGAAATCCTGGGTAAATCACTGGATCTCTCAGTGTTCCCAGTCAACTCTCTAAGACAGTAAGACAGAAGAGCGGCTGACCTGTGGATGTTAATAGACTTTCCACATCAGGAGACTCTCATTGATAAAAATCCCAAGTCTAGGACCAAAACCCCAAAAAAGTCATACTCACAGAAGTCATTGAGTTGTATACCAAAGGAGACATTTAAGTATCTCAATTCAAAACATAACCACCTAATCATAATAGTAGTAGTTGTGGGAGTAGAAATAATAGCTAACATTTATAAAGCACCTACTATGTACTGGGCAACGTACTAAGTGCTTTACAGATATCATTTCATGTTACCCTCATGATAACCCTGGAGGTAGATTCTCTTATAATCCCCATTTTACATTTGAGGAAACTGAGGCAGACAGTGATTAAGTGATTTAATATAGCTAGTAAGTGTCTAGGGCAGGATTTGAACTCATGTCTTCTTGACTCCATGCTCAGTGCTCTATTTACTATGTGACCTCACCTAAAGAGAGAGACTGCTGTCTCATCTAAAGGGAAATATCAAACTATCAAAGGCTCATGACTCTAAAGTTGGAAGAGCCCTTAGTGGTAATTTAGTACAACTCTCTGATTTTACAAATGAGGAAACCAAGGTCCTATGAGGTTAGATGATTTGCCCAAAATGGCAGTTAGGAATGATCAGAGACAAAATTTGAACTCAGGTCCTCTGATTCAAAGGTCAGGGTTCTTTCCACTGTATTATGTTAAATGAGAAAATTCTGCATTTGACCTAGATTTTTAAAGTAGAAGGGAAAAAAATGTAGATTCAATGAAAGCATCCTAGAGCTTAAAAATGTAAAACAGTTTAATATCAATAAAAGAAACACCTGGTAAAGAAAATGAGCCCTAAATGAAAATATGTGTGGTGGGGAAAATCCAAAATTAAATTATGTACAATAAAACCTTGCAAAAATACAACTGGTAAAATAAAATGATTGAAACAACAAGACTAGCAAATCCCACTATTATTGTTTTGATACAGTAAGGATAAAAACAATGGTATAGGGAAAATATGCTGATATATACTTGGAAGTGACATGTTGATTATTTGTAATTTTTTTAAAAAAGTAAAGTGTTTTCTCCTATCTGTCTGATTCTCTGTGGATCATCTCCTCAGGAACAATCTTCTCTAAAAGTTATGTAATCATATTTAAAAAGTAAATTTCTTTCCATTAACATACTTAGGTAATGTAACTCTAAGGAAGCAGCTTCTTTGGAATGAAGAAACCAGTAGCTAGGTGGCAAAGTGTTTAGAATGCTGGGCCTGGAGCTGGAAGACTTCCTGAGTTCAAATCTGGCCTCAGCCACTTACTAGCTGTGTGACCTTGGCCAAGACATTTAACCTTGGTTGCCTTAGTTTCTCATTTGTAAAATGAACTGGAAAAGGAAATGGCAAATCACTCTAGTGCCTTTGCCAAGAAAACCCCAAATGGAGTCATGAAGAGTTGGACATGACTGAAAAATAACTGATCAAACAAATCAAACTGATCAACAAAAAGAAACCAGGAGTCAGTCACAGTGGATGCTTTCCTTGACAGGGTGTGCAAAAGTACCTAGAAGAAAGCACAAAGTGAATGAAAGAGAGCTTGAAGTACAATGCAAATGAAATATTGATGAACATGGTAGTGATGATAGAGGCTAAAAGTGAACAGAGGGCTAATTTACATAGCACCTTTCCTCTGGAGAGTGAAGATTGAATGATAGTGCTTGGGACAGTTCTCTCTCACAGGTGAGGCCTCTAAAATGGTTTGCCCATTTTCAAAGTACTCTGTAAACACACATTCAATGGAGACAAAAGCTCATGAGCCTCACCAACAATTGTACTTTTTCATCCATAGGAAATAATTGAAATAAAAAGCCTTTAATGAATAGAGTAGTAAAAAGAACATTCCTGCCTTACACCGTAAATCTAAGGCACTTTCTTTCACAGGTATTTTACTAATATTTAATTAATTTTTGTAGTATCTCCATGCACTAGGATCACAGTTTTAGAACTGGAGTAGACCTTAGAGAGGTCAACATTAAGACCAATCCCTTCATTTCATGACTAAGGAAACTGACACCCAGAGAAGTGACTTGCCCCCAGTCACACAGCTAGTAAGTAGCAGAGGTGGTATTCAGACCCAAATTCTCCAACTCCAAACCCAATGCTCTTTCTCATATGTCTATTACCTCTGATTTGGATTTTCTATTGAGACATTGATGACTAGCAAATTTGTGACTTGTCTGAAGTCACATAGTTACAGAAAGAGTTGGACCATGATTTGAGAGGGAACTTCAATTCAAAGCTCCATGATACTAAGCCATTGCTTCTTAAATTTTTACAATAGCAGGAAATTTCATTTTAAATAAAACTTTAGTGGAAGTATTATAGTAAAATGAACTTTAAAATTAAAAAATGCCTATCGCTAATGGTATCAAATAATATAATGGTAGCTTAATTTTTTTAAATGATTGAAAAGCATCTCTTTCACCCATTTTATGTTTACTCTAACCATGGTATATACAACTTAGTTAATCATAGGGACTTTACTGTTTGCCACCAATGTGTTTTATAGTAGGTGTCCTGGCATCTAGTAGTTTGATCCGCCAGTCTTCCTTGGGCATTTGCTTTCTGTGCTTGCTCAGATACGCTGCACTGGACAGAATCTGATCTTACAGCATTTTATCATTGTGGACCAGGACAGTACTAGCCACTGGATGACGGGCCTACCCCTTTCTCACACTCTCTTTTCTCACCCTATTCTCTAATGAGAGGTAGTGTTGTACAATAGGAAGAGCACTGCATTTGGAGGCAAAGGGACCTTGGTTCAAATCTTAGCTATGCCACTTACAACCTGTTTGACTCTGGATCTCATTTCTTCTCTTGTAAATTGAGAGTGGTGGACCAGATAACTTCTGGGCCCCTAACCACCTCCAAATCTGTGACCCACTCTATGACCCAAAATGCACCACAAGCTACTCAAGCCCACAGTTTGTACTTGCACAGGTAGATTATATTTAGGTAGATCATTCTAATTTCATTAATATTTTCAGTTAAAAATTTTGAGTTTTGTTTTAAAATTCACTGTTTTGTTTGTAAATCCCTTTGTAACTTTGCCAGAACCATATAGATGTTTTTTTTTCAAACTTTGCTTACTTAAAACATACATTGCATCAGTCTCATTAGAAGGGAGCCAAACTTGTAGATAACTACTATTGCTTTGGCATTTCTTCTTTGGGATCTTGTACCCCTATTAGATTTATGGATGTTTATTCCACCTTGAGAATCTTGGTTAATAACATACTGAAATTTCACATTTTACCAAACTATATGTAATGGGTATTGTTACCAGAAATGTCATAGTATCTAAAAGTGAATAAAATTGGACAGTGATCCTTTTATATACATTCTGCTGGCACAATATAGTGCCTGTTATATAGTCCTTGTTCTCTTCAGTAACTGATTCTAAATC